CACACACACACACACACACACACACCCTCTCCCTGCGCCCTGACACTCACTTACTGGCCCCAGCACCGATTGTGAGAGGCTGGTTCAGAAGGGTCTGCCCTCTGGCTGTCTGGACAGGTTCAAGCAGTAACCAGAAAGACCCTGGTCCCTCGGTCCGCTGGGCCCTCTGCCCGAATGAACCAACTCATAAGCCTGCAGAACTGGCACTGTCCCTGTGGAGTTCACCAGCCTGTCATCTTTGAGAGGGTGATGGTTCCATCTTTCTCTGGCTGGTGGATAGCAGCTGAATGCTTAACCACTGTGCCACCAGGACTCCTCATGTCTTCCCCCTCCCCCCAGCAACGGGCTTTACCCTCCAGACCCAACGTGGGGGGCATGGAACTTGTCTTTGCTCTGCCTGCCTTAGGAGAGCTTGGGGCTCCCGGGGTGTCCAGATGATGGACAGCATACCCCTCCCAGCTCCCCGATCCCAGAACAGTCCATGTGAGAATGACCCTCGTTCACGTCTTCCTGCAGCTGGAGATGGAGTTGAAGCTCCTGAGGTCGCAGACACAGCCCGAAGACCACAGCTTCCAGTTCTCCAGGGAGGAGGTGGACTCACTCAGGTAGGGGTACCACCTGCTCCCCTCCTCTGCTCCTCACTCCCTGTATCCAGAGCCCACCCCAGCCCACCTGCTGGCAGGGTCTTGCTGCTTAAATAGACTCCCATGGGCTGCATATGTGGTGCCACGGTTCGGTGCTTTCCGCTCATCGGAAGGTTGGCGGACTGAATTCACAGCTGCGCTCAGGAGGAAGGGGGACAGCTCTGCATTGTCGGTCAGGGTCGCTGTGAGCAGAAGTCCACTCAAGGCCACGTGGAGGCTTGTGTTTCTCTGCTTTGGAAGGCTGCTCTCCGCAGCTGTGGCTCCCAGCTGGTCCCCTCAGGGGAGGACCTCGGTCTTATGGCCACAGCTGCTCGGAGGACACACCCTCTTCCTCCCCCAAAGCTTGGGTGGCCACGCCTGCTGCTGAGGGGGCAGGTCACCAGGCTTTTGTTTGTGGTGTCACCGCCTGGATCTGCTGGGTGGGTCAGTCTCAGGCGGCCCAGCAGCACATGTCCAGAGCCTGTCCCTCTGGGCCTGGCCAGGGGCTCTTGCTGGTGCAGGCCACAGTCCGTTTTGGATTTGTTAGAATTATTTTTCCTTAAAACAGTTGAAGGCTTTATGTTGGTGTCTCTCACATCAAAGCGTCATGTGCCCGCCACCCCAATTTGGAACACAGCTGTGGAGAAAGCCTTTGTGTCTAATTAATAGAAACCAGGCCAGTGTCTGCTTACAGCATGCGGCCTCAGCCCGCACCGCCCTCCCGCCGCGGCAGCCCCGGTCCGGCCTCGGAGCCAGGTGTGGGTGTTGAGTGGATGTCGAGTGCAGTTCTGGGCCTGTGCTGTCCTCCCTGCTCGCTGATGGCACGCTGCAAGGAGCCCTGGGAGCCCCAGCCAGGGATCTGGGAAACGCGCCTTCTTGGACAAACTGCCTCCTCTTTCTGATCTCCGTGAACTTCCACTTCTTCCTCTTTCCAACTCCTAAGTGACTTTCTTGAAACTCTGTTAGAAAATTCCGGAGGGAGAGTGCTCAGCCGGGGCTGTTGTGATGGATGCACCCCCAGCAGGGCTACCCCAGACCCCACTCTTCCCAGAAGTCGGAAGGCAGGCCGAGGCTGCTCCTTAATGACCTCTGTAGAATTCAAGTTGTTGCTGGGCTCTGTTGAGTCTGTTCAGCTGCTGGTGACTGCATGTGCGGTCTCCTGGGTTGTCGTCCTTACGGGAACACAGCACTTGGTTCTCCTTCCCCAGGGCTCGGGCTGGGGTCCAGCTGCCAGCTTCTCAGTCAGCAGTGGGCCTCCTAATCCCATGCTCCTGTGTCCAGTCGGTGGCGTTGGTGGCCACGGCGTCTCCCAGGGCTGCCAGCCAGTGTCCACTGATCGGTAGGTCTTCACTAGTGGACTTTGAGGAGGAAATGTCCAGGCGTGCCCTCCAGATGCATGCTGTACATACATAGGTGTCACACACATGTACCTTATGCCTGTGCTACGTGTGTGTCTGCACGTGATCAAGGGTAGCTTGGGCGTTCACAGGGAAGAGCTGCCCCAACCAACCTGAAACCCGTTCCCACAGCTCAGTCGTGGCCTCGCGCCCCACCTTGTCCTACTAATTGCAGCAGCAACCCTTCTACTCTGCCGGGCTCAGAATCCACTCACGAGCCACCCAGACCTCGCAGACCCACGTGGTTGTGGGCTTTGCTATGACTCAGGTATGACTCAGGTTGGCAGGAGGACAGCTTGCGAAGTGTTCACAGGCCTTGCAGTCTTTTGTGGCTTTAGGCCTGTGTTACTAAGTCCTGCCAATTAAGGGATCTGCACCCCATCTCCTCCAGTGAGCTCTGCTCCATGTTCCAGGCCAGCTCTGTCTCATGGAAAGTTCCTGGTTCTCTGCTGCTGTCGGGGCTCTCCCATAGCTCCAGTCTGACTGACACAGGGATCCCTGGCCCCCAGAGGACCTCAGAGGACACACGTCCCAGAGGACATATGTCCCAGAGGACATCGTGTTTTCATCTTCTTTGCTGGTAGTGAGATTACAGATTGCTGTTACTGAACCTGCCGAATTTGAACCTGGTGGAACGGCAGAATGAGCCAGGGCCCTGCTGGATAGACTGACACACCCTATTTGCATATTCCCACCAAGTCGTGTGGCAAAGTCAAGGGCAAAGGTCTAGAAAAACCGTTTTGAACAGTAGAGCCCAGCCCCTCAGTGCAGCGAGCCCGTGTGTTGGTCGTGCTTGTGTATACACATGCTGGCCGTGGTCTTTGTGCACACTCTGCCCGTGCACTGCTTCCGTGTTAGCTACATTCCTCTGACAGCAGTGGAAGGGTCTTGTCAGAGGCCGGGGAGGGGGCGGGCCAAAGGGGGTCGGACCGCTTCCCAGGGACATTGAGTGGAAGGCACCAGGTAGGGTGACTAGATGGGTGCTGGGGTCAGTACCACCTGGGGAGCAGATTCTCACTCAGACGGGTAGGCAGGTGTGCTGGACTGTGAGGAGCGTGGGGGCCTCACAGCCCACTTGACACAGCAGGTGGTTCCTGTCCCAAGCATCACGCCCTCCCTTGTCAGTCCTCCTGTCCTTCCTATGGCGATGTGGGTCATGGGGTGAGAGGGGAGCCTGCCGGCTTCTGTAAAGACGCTCACCTTGGAAACCCACGGGACCCTGGGCGGCCCCAGCCTGTCTTCATGGGCTGGAACAGGCCTACAGCAGCAGGTTGGCATTTTGGCTTTGCTTCTGTGGAAGACACCACTTTTCTAAGAAAGGAAAGCAAGGAGCTTCAGTTAAGTGGCAGCAGCTCAAGCTTCTCAGCTGGAACAAATCTGGGTCCTTCTTCTCAGCTGTCAGACAGCAAGTGCCGTGCATCCTGAGCGCTGCCTGTGGATTTAGCTGCAGCTTCAGTGACTCCCAGGAAGCGTGCGTCTGGCCAGTGCCCATTAGTCATACTCGCTGGGGTCTTGTGGTGCTTGAAGGCTGCACGCTGGGCCTCCCACCGGGTGGGCAGCTCTGTGCTAGGGGCGGTGGGTGCCCTGCCCAGTGGACTAGCATGTCTGTCGACATGCCCATGTGTCCGGAATGTCCAGCTCTTGGCTCACCTCTATTGCTAGACCCTAACCACTTCCTAAACCACACACCTAAACCACATGCCTCTGGAAACCCTATGAGCTTTGATAAAGGACAGTAGTTCTAGAAAGGCCTCAGGCCTTTTGTTCATTGTGTCACTGTGAGTCATGCTTGACTCATCGGCATTCAACAACAGCAACGACTATCTTATCAGGCCCACTCACATGAAGGGAGGTCTGAAGACCCATCCTGGTCCCACCCAGCTTGTCCTACAGGCTCCTATCTGCTCGGCCCGCCTCACGGGGACCCCTTGGTGGTGGTGGTAGCTCCTGTGGAGACCCCTGGCGATGTTAGCTCACTGCTGGTCGGCCCGCCTCGTCAGGACTTCTGCATCATCACCACAATGGGCAGTGACCCAGGGCATCTCCAGTGGCTCATGGTTCAGAAGTCGCTAGTCAGGCCTTTATGCTGTGTTTGTCTCCGTCTGGAAGCTTCTCTGAACCTGTCTGCGCATCACAGCAACACACAAGCCTCCACTGACAGACAGACAGGTGGCTGGTGGCTGTGCAGGAAGAACCCAGCCCCCGATGGACAGCGTAGCTGCCCGGCCACACACAGTCGCTTCACTGTCTGTGGGCTGGGCCCCCCAAGAGACGGCACAGCGCCTGTGCGTCTCCTGGGTTCTAACTGCAGCCCAAGGAGGATTCTGAATCCATTTCTCTTCCTGAAGGATGATGTGCACACAGTCGTGCCCCCCACCCCCGTACTTAGGTGTGTGCACCCACAGCCACACCCAGACACAGGAAGTGCACACACGTGCCAGCACAGACGCCTCGGAACCCGGCCGAGGTGGGGCGTGGCCCCGCGGCCTCTAGCCCATGTCTGCTTTACCTGGTTTTGCTAGAAGTGACAGTTTTGTGCCTCTAATTGTCTTTCTGGCTCCTCCCTAAGATTACAGACCACGGATTGTGCGGAGGGTCTCAGTGCGTACTGACTTGGCTGCAGTGAGGTTTGGGGTCTTTTCCAGCTCAGTTTCCTTGTTGTGACCTTGGAGGAGATGCACCTGTCAGGCTCCCGTGTGCGACCCTCCGTTGTGCTCAGGTCTCGGCTCCTCTCAGCAGCTGCTATTACCAGCTTGCTGCCCACAGCCCCATCCTCACGGAGCTCCACGCTCGAGCGGAACAAGTGTTTGGCTTTAAAAAGACTGCAGGGGATAGTTGTCGTTTAAAGGTTCAGGATTATTTCCGGCTGAGAGTTCTGGAGGCTCTTGCAGCCTCTGTGGTTCCAGAAGTTTCTGTGAGTTTCATATGGTTGCATCACCTCCCAAGCTCACACCCACCAGGCCTTCATTCTCACGTCATCCACGTGTTCCCACCTCCAAAGCTCTCCTCTGTTCACCTATAGAGCTCCGTCTTCTTGACAATTCCTATAAATGGAAAAGAAGATCTGTGGTCCTCTGAGATGGCTTCTCTCACTTAGCTCAGTGCCTCTCAGATGTGTCCACGTTGTTCCCCAGGGAGCGGCGCCCTGGTTCTTGCTCGGGAACGTTCCTCGTGCGAAGGTCCTGCAGCCTTTGTGAGCTGCTCCCTGTTGAACGGCATGTGTGCTGAGAACAGTGGGAGGCAGTTACGAACAGAGCTGCCGTAAGCATTTGTGTTCAGGTGTTGGGTGGACAGAAACTTTCTTTTGGTGGTTTCTTCCCAGGAGAGAGACTGGCAGGTAATACGTGATATGTGTCTGTCACTGTCAGGAATCGCGAGGTGGCCGACTCCCAGCCACCCGGGGATACCAGAAGGTGACCTGCCGGGCCAGCGCCAGCCTCACCTTCTTAGCTGATTGAGCCCATGGCCGCAGCCGCTGTCCAGTCCATAGCCCAGAAGGCCTTCCCTTGTCACTGACCCTCGGCTTGGCCCCTGCCTGAAAGTATATATGAGGCATGGGAGAATGGCTGGCGTATAGGACAGATGCGTGAGAGTTCACGTTCTTCTCGGCTCTCCCCAGGCAGGATTCTGATATGACCCGGGAGGTTTTCAGGGGCAGATTTGAACTGTATCACTGGCCTTTCTTCCCGTTCTTCCTTAGTCTGACTGGTCCTCTGAATCCCATCCACAAGAGCTGGAAGGACTGCGTTGAATATCCCACCTGAATTTAGTGCCCTCTCAAGGACAGATCTGACCAGGTGAACACTGATGCCCACAGGCTGGGGAGTCATGAAATGATGAAGACGTGATACATGAAGAAAGCAAACGGTCATTAAAAAGAGAAGAAGGAAAAGAGGTATCAGAATGGACGAGTAAAGAGATTCTGAAACAAGGACTTAAGAGAGCTGGGCCAAAGGTTTGGAGAGAAGACAGAGGAGAGTGTTAGGACAGAACGTGCAGAGACCGGGGTGAGCGAGCCAGCAGGGTCAACACCACGGGGCATCGGCCAGCTGAGAGACTGACAACGAAGTCAGGCCTCGAGCTGCGTCACTGGAGGACACTGAGGGTATTCTTGAGAGATGCAGGCAGCATCAGAGGGAGGAATGGGTGTCACCTAGAGGAGCTGGTCACCACGGAGCCATCTCAGAAGGCGGCACATGGTCCAGATCAGAAGACACTGAAGGAAGCAGCCCAGGCAGCACTGAAGACACCGGCAAAAATGCAGCTAGTTCTCCAGGGGCTGGAGGAGGACCAGCCGAGGCGTGCCATCCAGCAGGTGCGATGCTGACAGCACTCCGTCATCCACACCACGGAATCTGAAAGACAGTCCCTCGGCCAGCTGAGGGGAAGAGATCTGTGCACGTGCAAGTCCAAAGACGGATGCGCCGGTGGATGCAGTAGTTACCGTGCACCGTCATTGATAACACAGCGAGGAAAATGCTGCTGGACTTCTCAAACACGGTGGAAACTGTGAGCATGGAGCTGGTAGACACGTGTCGGTCTTCAGGGGGGACTTAGAATGAGGGACAGCACTGCGGCGGTCAGGGCGTGTGCCTTGTTGACTATACAAAGGCTGTGGATCCTGAGACATTGTGGATAACTTTGTGAAGAACGAGAACTCCAGAATACATAATTGTCCTCATGTGGAACCTAAATAAATGCCACACCTTCATCAGAGCAAACCAAGGGGGTGCTGCATGGTTTAAAGTCAGGAAGGGGTGCAGCAAGTTACTCTCTTGCTGTGTTTTAATCTGTGGGCTCTGTGAAGAATCAGAGGAGGTGGGCTTCAGAAAGAGCAAAGCCTCAGGTTTGAATGAAGACTCATTACCAGCCTGTTAGGAAGCAGGACCGTGGAGAAGGACGTGGTGCGTGGTAGAGTAAGCAAGATGGAGTGACAGGGTGGGTGGTCAGGATGCCGAGGGTGGCTCAGGGCCAAGTGCCATTCTGTTGTGTGGCGCTCGGGTCACTGTGGGCCAGCGCCAGATTGAGAGCACCGAACAACACTTGTGTACCAACTGGTCAGAACCGACTCAGAGCTAACCCGCCAGCGGCTTTTCAGAGGCTGTACGTCAGACAGAGGAGACTCCTGTCCTTCTCCCATGGAGCATCGGGTAGATTCGAACCTTGTCCTTTGTGTTGGCAGCTCCTTACCACTAGGCCACCAGAGCTCCCTAACAGCACTAGTAATGTCGTAGTAGCGCAACAGAGCAGGCCCGTGCTGAGACGACAGCACAAGCCCAGGTGTGTGGGTCGGGGGGTTGCAGCACAGTTCAGTCCATTACACTTTTCTCCTCTGCAGACTGAAGGTTGAAGAGCTGGAGGCAGAGCGAAGGTGTCTGGAGGAAGAGAAAATGGTGCTGGAGGCCAGGCTGGAGAGGCTCACCCTGCAGGTAAGCCTAGCAGGGCGAGGGCGCGGGGCGCGACTATCTGCACCAGCTACTACTCCCTGGCCTCGTGGCCTCTCCACCTCGCGTGGCCGTGGTTTCTGCACCCACAGTGCCTTGTCAGACCCTCATGCGTGCCTCCTTCCCTGGCAGAGATCCCTGTGCCCTGGTCCTGCCGAGGGCTGGGCAGGTCCCGCAATGCCCCCGGAGCACACGGCCAGGGTTTTAAGGAGAGGAGAGCTTTCTTCCCCTGATGGTGGTTAGGAGGTTAGATCACACCTCTCGGACCTCGCTCTCCGTGAGCTGGAGGAGGGGCCTGGTTTCAGACTTGGGCATCTGTGGGCCTGGCATTCCCTGTTAAAAGGAGTTCCTGGTGCTGGACCTGGGCCTGGAGATCTAGCCCACTGCCTGCGCTCTTTTCTTGGTGGGCCTGAGGTTGGGCCCCTCAGCTTGCTTGTATCTCTCCTGAGATGAAGGTGTTAGAGGCCACACCTCAGAGACCTTCCCTTAAGTCTGATTAGAGCATTGTGGTGGATTCAGGGCATTGGAACCCCACGCTGGAGTCTCCGGCAGTGACAGCGGGTTGGTTTATCAGATAACGTGTATCAGCACATACCTGTATCTTGTGGGCACCATTTAATCCGTAACACTAACCCCGCCTGGCACCGCCGAGTGCAGCCCTGTCCTGTCTGCCTCCCTCCTGCCGTACCTCCCGCCTGGCACCGCCGAGTGCAGCCCTGTCCTGTCTG